TTCTCCATTTTTAATTTCTAGTCTTTGTTTGGAAGATACAAAATATGCTATATTGAGTGTATTCAGAAATCAAAAATAAATATTGATCTCGGAAAAGGAGAGTTCATAAATTGTACAGCACTGATTTGATTGTAATTGATACTATATAGATCATGACCAGGAAGTTAAATGCCTGAAGCATTAGAACCCATCTATCAATATTTTCAAGAAAATCCATTTTGAAAATTTTAAATACTTTTATATTATTAAAGCGCTATATAAACATGAGATCTTGTGGTATGGTGGTTAAAGGCATGTGCTTGTAATTTCAAAGCTGCAAATTATATCTTTTTATGAATTGTTTTGCACTACATTTTTAAAAAATATTTTTCTTAAGCTACATTCATTTTAAGTAATTCAGCAAAATTAATAAGCGTTATCAACTTGAAACACACACACACATATACATATATTTTATCTAAAGTGCAAAAAATTTATATTTTTTACCATCAATGATGTTAATCTTTCTAAATACATATATATAAATATCTTAAAAAATATGTTTGCAATGCAGCAATTGAATATGAGAAATAGGGAAATTAAATTTATTTTTGAGATTGTAAGAAAAGAAAAATACACATCATATTCAATACATCGCTTATTAAATTTATGATCAATGTTAATTAAATATGATCCATGATCCTATATATTAACTTCTGATTATGAAATATTTTAAGCATTAAAAGTGTTGCAAGAGCTAGTTTGAAATTTCTAGTAAAAACAATATAATCAATAAACTAAACCACTTTATGAATATTAAATTTTTTTTTCTATTGATTTCTGAATACATCGATTAGGAAACTGTTCACATTTATACAAAATGTTCCATTTAATTTTTTTTTATTGAGAATACAGTTTAAATCAAAACTTTCATTCCATATTTTAATGTTCTTTAACTCATTTTTCAATGTTCCTTTCTTGTAAACTTTTGTTTTCCAGTTATACAATTCTTTGCAAATCATCCCAAAGAGAACTCCAATTTAATATTTTGTTCATATTGGATATACTGTACCTATTTCACATTTTTTTTTCCTTCAGTTCGAATGTGATATGCTTTATTCCAATAGCTATAATTGTGACTATATAAAGAAACAAAATTAAGCAGCAACCCAACAACATTTAAAACATTTATGTTGAAGAAGACTTTTCATAAGGAAAACTAAAGAATTTCAAAAAGAATAGAAGTATGTTTTTAGCAGAAAATATTCACTAACTTAAGTAATTTTTCTGCTTTACTAATAATAAGTATAACAAAAAGAAATAAAAAGAGGAAAAGAGTCTCCATGGAGGGTAAAACATGGATTCTGGGTTAGTAGCGCATGCTTTAACTACCATTCCGCAGGATCACATGCCAATACAGCATTTCAAATTTTCAGATTCTTATTTTTTCAGCAATTAAATTATTATTATTAATGATTTACATATAGTAAAAATTTCAAATAAATTATTGATGAATCAGGAATCAATTCCTCTCCTTACAAGAAAGAATAGTGTATATTGAAAAGAAAAACACAGCACATTAACAAATATGTTTAAGATATATTGTGCAGGCAATTCATGGTATTTTAGAAACAATCAAATTCCAAAGAAACAAGAATTCCCACATTAAACAGTTTTTTCAGCCCTTTGATCAAAAATTCTTTACTAATCTTCTTAACTCTTTAATAGAAATACTGATTGTGACTTCACTAATACAAAACAACAGAGCAAGTTTAAACAATTCAATTTTTCATGTGTCAATACACACTTGCAGAAAATATTCACCAAACAGTTTCACAATTGGTTCAGTAGTTAATACTCTGATCAAGCAAACATTACATAGTAAATGGAGTTCAGACTAAAAAAACCAATGACTATTTTAAAATCTTCTCATTCTGTTCCAGTATGGCATATTTATCCAATTTCTATTTTGTTAACTCTGTAACATTTCTATTATTAACTCTGTAACATTTACTAACGATAACTAACTTATTCGTCTAAACTATGGCAAGAAAAAACTTCTGCCAATTCCCCTTATTTCTGCAACAGTTACTATATCAACTGTTTCAAGCCTGATTATTCAATTGTCATTTCTGCTTGCTATCATCATTACATCACTCTCATCCATCTCCATGCTGAAAACATTTTTAACATATTTATTTATCAATTTTTTTTTCATAACAATGAATATCATCTCACTAAGTTCCTTTCTCTGAAGTCTCTGAATTAAAAAAAAAAAAAAAAAAAAGCAAAAGTAGCCTACAATTTACTGTCTTCAATTTGGACACTGTCCATTCTACAGTCTGACAGTGATAAGCCACAGTAGTATTCAAAGATTTAATCAAGATATTGAAGATGCAAAGATGTTTAGATTTATATTCAAAAGAATCCAAACATTGTTACAAGACTACAGCGAGTTTCACAATGTCTTTTGTACAAGATGTTCGACAAAATATATAGACTGAGGAGTAGTTGGAAAATATAACATTCAAAAAATTTTAAAAAACCAATAAAACTGATCATGCTATGCAAGAAAAAAAAGGCTTATTGCACAAAATATGGATGATTATAATTAATGATGGAAGAAACGAATATAGTAATTAATAAAATGAAGAAAATTTCATTACTGCTATCGTTTGTGTACATTAAAAAGAAAATCAGCAATACACATATGCACAAAAAGTGTCACTGAAAAATTTAACAATTCTCTAGCCATGCCAATAAAGATTATGAAGGAAAGGAAATGGATATTTTTCAACGCTTTTTGCTTCAAAACTGAGAATGATTTTAAGTAAAATTGATTTTAAATTCAATCTGAAAATACAGGCCAGAAAAGAGGAAATAAATATTAACAAGAAATTTATTCTTGCTTCTTTTGTGAAAATTCTTATTCCTTATGTTGACAAAGGCAATTCGAGCAATCTGTTGACAGTTGTTATGAGCATGATAGAATACAATTTTTACTAATAAGGAATTTTAAAATTATAAGTCTTGTTACAAACCACTTGATGACCAAAGAATTTACTCAGAATTGAAGACATTTCTGATTCTGAAATACTTCTATGGTTAACTACTTTTGCCAGTTCTTAGGAAATGGCAATAGATTTTACTTGAAAGAGCAAGTGGCAAATTATGAGGGGCTTTTGTTTAAGAGGCAAATAAAAAATGAATAAAATTTATTTAAATAAAATGTAAAAAAATGTAATTCAAAATGTCATTCAAGCTTTCCTTACTGAAACAAAAATTAACTTGTTCTTTGAAGATTAATTAATTTTATAAATTAACTTATTTGGTTTATGCAAGAAAATATAAAAATGCAGATTTTTTCCCCTTCAAACTAAAAAACAAAATCTGTATTTTATTTGATATTTTCATTTATTTATAATGAATGCCTTTTGATGACTGTTTTCCAAGTTTTAAATTTTTTTGTAAGAAAGATAATAAATGAAATTAAAAATCAAGAATTTGTCTTCCTTGTTGCAAAAATAAATTTGCATTTTATTTATTATTTTTAATTTATTTATATTTATTTTGAATAAAATAATTTACTCAGAATTGAAGACATTTCTGATTCTGAAATAAATCTATGGTCAACTATTATTGCTACTTCATAGAAAATGGTAATAGATTTTACAAAATTCTATATTTTATTATTATACAGTCCTATATTTTAATTTATATTTTTTTCTTTTTTTCATAAACAGTTTATTTTATAGCAAAAGCATTTTGTATTGCCTAAATAGCATTTGTTAATCTATACATTTATAAAAAAGGAAGATATTTCACACTTCTAAAATGATAGGCTTTCTAGCTGCATTGATGAGATTGTTACCTGGGTTAAAGAAGGTAAAAAAAACCTTTTAAATATCAATTTGTATTAGAAGTATTGATTTTAAAATTAGAGAAAAAAGACTTCCTGATGGATTTATATATATTTCTAGTATATATTGCATTGTCATTCTATTCAATATCTGTTTTCATACATTGATAAATTATAAAAAAGTATATATATTAAAAAAATAAAAACTATAGATATTAAAAAAAATAACGATTTCTTACTTTGTGGCATGGTTACTAACTTTTCTCCAATAGATCTGAAAATAAATATTAATATTAATACTTATGCACATATTTTTATATTATATGAAACAACCAGTCATAATTATTTCTTAAAAGAAATGGTTATACTATGATACAGTTATTTTCCAAAAAAATTGATAGAATATCCTACATTTTGTCCTAATGCATTTGAACAATAAGGTCATGTACTAAAGGTTATATAGTTAAAATCCAAATGAAAAGCACAATTTAAGTACACTGTTTAAAAAAATAAAATAAATCTAAAATAAATCTTTTATTTTAGATAAGATGTAGATCTTTTCATAAATCTTTTAAAATAATAAGTAATAAATCTACATCACTTTGGTTATAGGAGGAAATTTTACATGCATGATTATGCAATTCATTATGTAATGCTACAAAAAAGTGTAATTACACAATCCTTTTTGCTGTCATTACCTTTTTTTTACATATCAAGAATACAGGTTATTTCATAGATAAAATAAATATCAATATCTTTAAAACAATAAAAATATGTATAAAAACAGGACATAGATTCTGAATGAAATTTATTTATTGAATATTTATAATACTCTTTATTAGTTATTATTCATAAACTCTACATTCAATCTTTATTATGAGTTTCCTGTTTGTTGTTTCTTATCCCACTTGGCTGGCCAAGCCCACAAGCCCATATGGACTCATGATTGAAGGGGAAGAAAGCAGCTTCTGTTGTGATGGAGCACCCGTAGGTAGAAGCCTGACTTTTGCTCCGTGACGCTCTTGCAGTCATAGAAGACCGGGACCTACGGCTTAAAGTGGATTCCGAACCACTACAAACATCCATGGCACCGCCGGGATTCGAACCCGAAACCTGTGGCACCGAGCGCCAGACACTCGGCCATTCAGGTCCCAAATTTGCCAACGGCACGCAGTGTTCCCAGGTGGTCACCCACCCAAGTACTGACCGCGCACAATGATGCTTGACTTCGGTGATCTAACGAGAAATTAAAACATTTGATTGAAAATTCTCTTAATAATTTGCTTTTGTTGCATCTATAAAATGCACAATATCATTAATTTCCAGACACAAACTTATAAATGCCTAACTTACCTGATGTTGTAATTAAAATTATTCACCATGCAAAATAAAATGTCCTGGTAGCCAAGATTTCTTTTTATAACAGAAAGAATTATTGCATATAATAATTATAATTACTTCACATTTTAGAAAGATAATAGGCATATTTTATTTTAAAACTATTGAAAGATTTTTCTTATTACATATAATATAAAAAAAGACTTAGTTATAAATATGGTAATTTCCAAAGGTAATTTAGAGGAATTTGCTAATAACAATTTCATAACAAAATGCAATTCATCTTAAAAATCTTAATTATATTATTAATAAAATAGTTTTTTATGCAAACTTTGCACTCTGATATAACTGTATTTAAAAACAGGTTCAATGCAATATTAAATATGAATTTCAAAAAAGGTTTTTTTATTTCCAATGGCAGGCTACAATAATTAATAAAATAAAAAAAAGTAAAAGAACACAAAAACAACAACGAGAAACGAAGGAAATCATGTTTAGCCCCAGTAACGACTATACACAGAAGAGGACACAAGTGTAGGGCAGACAGGAAGGTGTGAATCCATGTCCTCTCCAAGACTGCAGAGGGCTTGCAAATATTTTCATTCAAAAAAGATGATTGGCCATACAATCAGGGCCCGTCCAGAGTCTGAAAAGGGCAACAGCTTTAAACATGGGCTGATCAGGGATGTTTAGAATAAAGTTAAACCAGGTTTTAGATGAGTTTCCTTCAAGTAGATTATGAGATAGAGTGTTCCGAAAAAGGTCTCGGATCATCAGTTTCATTGAGTGAAAAGAGATGTCTTTACAAAAGGTTTGAGTGATGGTTGTTCCTTTTTTGGCAAGAGAATCCGCCTTCTCATTACTCAAGATCCCACAATGGCCTGGGATCCACTGCAAAATGATATCCTTGCTTTTTGAATCAAGGTCTACAAGACAAAAGATGCACTTTTCGATGGAAGTAGACTGAGGTGCTAGGGAGGAATTGATTGCCAGCTGCCTTAGACTCAAATAGGATGACTGCTCTAGTAAATTGTTCTGTTCGGCACTGCAATTGAGTTAGGACAATACATAATGCTTCGACTTCACCGCCGTAAGCAGATGCTAAACAGCTGACAGGGGCATAGACAGAAAACAGGTCACAGAAAACTTCTGCCCCAGCATTTATTCGCTGTTCTATACAATCGTGCAACGTAGATCTACCTCCTCGTTGGTGCACCTCGGGCAACGCCTTGTCTGCTAAATGAACTACAATTCTGGCAATGGGTGCCCTGCCAAATAGTAATACATTTCAAAAAAGGTAAAATAATAAAATTATGTCATCTTTTTAAAAACCATTAGCCAAATTTTATTATTATTATTATTATTTTTTTTTTACTAATTTTAAAATATTCAAGTATAAAACATAAATTGGCAATCCCCCTTTTTTTTTTTTACTTCTTTCTAGAAAAAAGAAATGTAACAAAAACTTTATTTAAGGTCTAATATTAATTTAATGTTTAATAGCATGTTAAAGAACTATGTAATAATATTCAGAAATAGATAACAAATTTAATTAACAAGATTGCAAACACTAACAAAAATCCTGCAAGTCTTGTTTGCAAACTGTTTTTCTTTTTAAAAAGTGTATTTAATCATCTGAATGTACAACATTTAGCTTTTGGTTGTAATATTTCATAACTACAGAATAATAATAGGCTTCTGTAAGGATAATTATTCTAAAATAAAAGCAAATTTTAAAAACTACATCATAAATTTTAATATTCCAATATAATTTTATACAGTTGATTTTTAAAACTAAGCCAAATTTTCACCCTTTTACACTCAACAATTTTTTTTATTAGAAATTCATGATAAACACACATCATTGATTATTGGATATCATTTTTTTACACACTTTTCCCACAATACATGGAAAAACAACTTCGATATTTATTAGTATATTTTATATGGCCAACAATGAATAGCAGTTTATTATTTAAAATAAAGTGATAAATAATTAAGAAATATTCAATTTCTGCTTTAAAAATAATTAGATATTTAAATGCCACAGGCCATCTATCTATTAGGCACACAATTTTTCAGAATCTATAAAATATGAGCCTAAAACATAATAATAAGCTTCTCTTAAGAATGATTAATTATTTTGGAATTTGCAATAATTAAAAGCCTTATATTACTCAAAAACTTCTTCGATATTATTTGTTAATTTTCTAATCGATATAAGAGGACTTGATTTTTTTTTGCAGGAAATGCTAGTAGATTGTAATTATACCATTTCAACCCACTTAGTCATGACCTTATGATAAACACTGGATGAAATAAAACAAAAGAACAACATCTGTTTAGTATTTTATAACAAATTCAATGAAAACTAATCTATAAGTCAGCATCTGAAAATAATTTTAATATGACTTCTTATTTTAAAGAAATAATAAAACAAGTATAACTTACAAAAGTTTTTCAAGTTCAGATATTTTGTCACAATCTTTGTTGGAATCAAGTGATAATTGTTTATATTGAAGAAGTAGAACCTAAAATGTTAAGAGAGTAATTAAATCAAAGTGTTGTAAAATAATTATCACTGTGATCCTAGTAAATATCATCAAAGTTTGTGCTCATTAGAAATAATTTATTAATTTTTAAATATTAGAGATAAAAATAAACTTCTTACAATGTTTACCAAAAGCATATTTTTATTTTCAAAACTTTAAATTTAATAGATTTAGTGATACTAGGTACAAAGTAATTTATAATATAGTAAAATAACAAATTAATCAAGAAGATTTTAATACTGGGATTCCTGAAGTGGACAAAACGTTTATAAAATGGAATAGAAAGCAAATAGCAACAAATACTTAAGTTATTTTTACAGTAGGTTAATGATTGAAGTCAAAGATTTTTGTAAGAATGCCTCATTGTGTTAATAGCAAATGTCAACAAGACTAAATGTAGTGCTTGCAGTGAAGAAATGCAATGATACAAAGGTTGCAATTTATACACCCCAAATAATAAACAAAAATAAATTTCCTTCATTCAACATAATTTTATTGTTTTTTCAAAATATTTACTAAGATGATCAATACACTTTTGCATACATGTGAACCAATTTTCATAGTATTTTTTATAATTCTGATTGAGATACCTCCAAAACATGCATTTTGAATACATCAACAGCTTCTTCTGGTGTCGAAAATCAGTGACCACTTAGTTTATTCTTCACATATGAGAACAAAAAGAAATCATCAGATCTGCGGCAGATGATCCATCAATTCAATGTAGTGGCCAGTCAAATGTTTAGGACAATGAGCGAGAGTTTGCATGGTCATAATGAAGAATAATCCTAAGTTGCCAGATTGTTTCTTCATATTTCTTCAAGGACTTTTGGCAAACAAATGCTTGTGTACCATTTAGAATTGATCATTCTATGATTCTCTAGTGGTATTGTAGCTACTACTGTACGCTTATTTACAAGATGGCTACAGAAACTCTTGGAAAAAAAATTTATTGTCTTTTCCCTGATTAAACTTACATTTTCCTGATTTACAATTACCAATTATATTAGTTTCCTATCTTTTTACCTATCTAGAATCACTGTATATGTACAATATACATTATTAAAAACAGAATTGATGTTTTCTGACATAACCAATTTTGGAAGACATTTAAAATCACCCATGAGTGAAAGATGATCCTGATTAAATTCACTGAACCAATGATATACGATTTTAAATGATGCTTCATTGTAACAAGTTGATAAGTGCACTGTTAATCCACATCAAAAGTTGTAATAAATAATCATATGAAAATGTTCACAAATTAATTCCATTTTTTTATTGACATAAAATTTTAACAGCAATAGCTATAAAAACAAGAATAGCAAAATATTTATTAATAACAAAATATTTATATACGGACATATAACATAATAGTTTGAATAAATAAAAGTAAAAAATGTCTAATTTTATGACGGATGTGTTCGATAGTGCCACACAAAGCATAGTCAGTTTCTGATACATAAATAACAGCCTCCATATGAATTGATCTCAATACGTAGAAAAGAAATTGAGTATGAAGAAAACATGAAATATGGCACACTCTAATAAAGACTATATATTATCTTAGAACATAGACTGGTAAGAATAGAGCACAACAACCAAGCTTCCCCCGCATATTTTACGTGAAGAAAGGTCTGCAACCCAAAATGATTGTAAAATTGTATGACAAATTCCAATGAACTGGCAGTGTTCTAGATGGGTTATCAGCCACCACTAAACACTGCTGTTTACCTCATTACAGTATGAAACTATTAAGAATACCATCGTACACAGTTCAAAAAAATTGATCAACAAAATTATATCAGCATATTCCTTCGGTAAGAAATCAACATACAAAATATTGCAAATTGCCTGGAGGTATCTCTATAAAATTAGAGATACCTGGAGGTATTTCTATACTAGCTTCATTATATCAAGTATAATTTCCTTCCGAGAGTCACTTGAAGAATTCGGTGTACAAACAAAATCCCATGATGCTTGTGGAATTAAGAGCAAATCATCTATCACAAGGGTGGCCAACCCAAATGATCTTTAGGGGCACTTAAATGCAGCATAACTACATCCATATAAAATTATATATCCGCATTTAAGATTTAGACCCACTATAAGCATTTTTCTGGAGTGAAAAATTGAAACACCAAGAGTTATTATTATTATTGTGTTTACTTTTATTCTTGCATGCAAACATAGATAATATTATAATAATAACAAATAATAAACACACTCTGTAAATAAATATATAACATTAAAAATGAAATATAAAAAATATATAAATATAAAGGAAATCATTAAAAAATATATATTTTACTAGAGCAATATTTGTTTCTCCACTCGTCATGAGTTGGCAGAATA